TTAGGAACTTGGGATCTACCCCCTTAAGAGATTTGTATCTTTGGGATCAGGGTTTCTTGAAGCCATTTCTGTGCCATTTTCAGGACTGGTTGTGCGTGGTGTGGTTCTTGGACTTGGTCGTGTCTGCACTGAGGCCCGCAGCTCCCCAGGCACCTTGAGCCGTAAGAGGAGATCTTGGAATTTTATTGCCCTGTATTGTACACTAAAATATAAAAGTTTTGTTCTAAAAGAATGTTTAAGGGAGGAATAGTTAATTGAATGCCTATTAAGCACCTGTGTGCCAGGTGCAGGGGGACAAGGATAACTAAAACAGAAGTAAACAGGCAATTACAATAGAAGTTGAAGAGCGTTATAATGAGTGTAAATCAAGCAAGCTAGCAATGATGACAAATAAAGCTGCAGGTTTTCTACATTCTTCCTTACAAGAAGCCTGTGGACTTGCTGTGGTGATTTATAGAAAATTGTGTCACTCTTCCCATCAAAAGGTAGGGTATTTTGACCCCACTCCACAAGACCAAGTGGGCTTAGGACTGCTCTGATCTATACAATACAGCAGAGGCTGAATCACAAAAGGTGTTCCATGTCCACTATAATACTTATACTCAGATCCCAGTCTAGGGATCCCAGTCTAGGGATCTGAGTATAAGTATAAGCCCTAAGTCACTCTGTAAGAACCCTGACTTCAGGAGAGAGGCAAGGTGGCAGTGAACTGAAGATTCTGGGCTCACCTCCATATACGCACAAGAAGATTGTAACAGAATGAAACCCATTAACTCTTGAAAGAAAAAAGAAATTACAGGCCACAGTATCTGAGGAGGAGAGTCCCAGCAAGCAGTGGAACAGGCCAAGAGGATAGATAGCTTGGGTGTGCAAGGAAAGCTCCAGTAGCCTGGAGGGCCACACAGCAGCAGAGTAGAGATGACAAGTCACCCCAACCCAGACATGGTAGATCTCGACAGACTTCAGGGAGCCCAGAGCAGGACTGGAAGCAACCCTGCCTCAGTAGGACCCACAGACCATAGTGAGCCCCAATGTGGGTTCTGGAGGTAACCCCACTGACAACGGGCCCCAGCAAACACCAATGGGACCTAGAAGCAGCTCCCACCATCGCAGGCCCCCTACAAACTCTAGTGAGGCCCTGGCAATTAGTGTATGAGGTCCTGTCAAGGTATACAGATGTGACAGGCTTGGCAGCAGGGCCTGGACCCCACTGGCTGAGGCTTTTGAGGCAGTGAGGGGCAATGTTCAGAAAGACAGCCCCATAGATAGGAATGGGATTGGTGATCCCTTGGACAGTCAAGACCAGTGTAGACTTCAACAGGGTTGACACTGGGGAGACCTCACACTACCCAGGCAGTGGGTAGAGAGAGGAATCCGGGGGTTGTGGTCTGGGGTACAGGATACCAGTTACAGGGCTGTCTCACAGCCAGAGGCCTTAGGATGGAATAGAGTGGAGTTATGGCTCTCTCTTGAAAGAAGAGACATTGCAGAGGAGTTGAACACTCCATACAGGCTGGGTTCCTAGTAAACATAACAACAGAGCAGAGGTACTTACTTATGTGGCTTACTGAGAACATAAGGACTGCCAAGTCTCTATCACAAACCCTAAAAAGGAGGCATATCATGGGTGCCACAAAGAAGAGGCAGCCCCACAAAAAATGAAAAGATATTCTGTGCTCCTGGATTAGAAGAACTGACATTGTTAAAATGTCCATTTTACCCAAAACAATCCGTAGATTCAATGAAATACCTATCAACTTTCAATGGAATGCTCCCTAGATATAGAATAGATATTACTAAAATTTATATGGAACCACAAAAGATCCTAAACAGCCAAAGCATCTGGACAGAAAAAAACAAGAAATATGGTGTTATCATGCTACCAGACTTCACAGTGGGTTCTGGAAGCAGCACTATACAAGCTTACCTATTGGTAATTGATCAGTTAGGGAACTGTGGTCACACTGGCAAGTGTCACACTGACAAGAAGAAAATTAATATTTTGTTTAAGGGTGGAGTCAGAATTGCTTATCAGAATAGCTTATGTTTTAGCAGGAATTTAGAAAACCTAAATAAGAGACCAGGAAAAAGACTAATCAATACAAAGTAAAAATCAAAATCAACAAGCAACTATAAACCAGAGACACACTTTGGGGGTGGTGAGAGGTGGGGCGGGGAAAGGAAGGACTACAGTAAAAATAAGGTGGGGGGGATGCAATTGTATGGGGAATATAACCAAAATGAAAATGCATACATTGTGCAAATGAAAAAAGATGTAAGAATTAAATAAAATATTTAAATAAAAAAAAAGAATAGCTTATGTTTAATTATGTGACTACGAGTGCTTGCTCTAGGGGTATTTTCACATGTGGCCTCCATTTTGGTTTTCCTTTAACACAAACACAATAGAGATCAGGAGAGTGATGTCTTCAGTTGCTAAGTTTTGGTGTCTGTTGTTTTGCAAAAACAGTAACTTAACAGGTTGATAAAGCTGGCCATGGAAATGAACAGCATTGACCAGAGGCCCAACTGTAGCAATGTGAGAAACCACTCCCTTATTTGGAAGGCTCAGCTTCCAGAGAAGGGCTGACTGCTGTAGGAGACAGGGAACTCCTCTCACGGTTCCCCTTGGTTTTATGACTCTTTTGATTGCCTTGCTGAGATTTCCTTAGACCATAACCACTTGCTACCACTCTTACTCAAGGTCAGACTTGCCATGGTCTGACAATTCTCCCAGCCTTTTCCATCTTCCTCATCATTTCTTCTCATACAGGTATCATTTCTAATAAAATTCTTATATATTTCACCCAATCTTGGTGTCTACTTCCCAATGGACCCAAACAAATATCAGTGATACAGGAGTGGTCCCCTAAAAGGCTGTGAGCTGGGGGTTAGTACTGGCTTACCATCACCAAACAAACAGAAAGAAGACAGGGTCCTGGTATGGAAAACCTGGAGCCCTGAAACATGGTAGGGACATCTAACTGGATGTCCTGTGAATGTCACTCTGAAAACTTCTAGGTCCACTGGGAATATAAAGGTTGCACTTCCCTCCCTACTAAGAACTAGTATTTCCCAGCACAGCAGCAGCACATAGCTGATACCCAAATAGGCTCCTCTTACTACCTCCCATGGCTGCTACACTAATACATAGAATTAAATCCCAGCTTAACTCAGCAGTAGAAGTGCTGAGTCTTATAAAGAAGGAAACAGACTACCTACCTAAAAAGTTCTGTGAAAGAATATATTAACAGGAGTAAGAACTACTCCTGGAAGTGGATCTTGAAAGTTCTTGATAAATGGAGACAGAATTTACAACTGAATAAGCAAGAATTCTTTGAGTTGGGGACAGTTTTATAGAATTCAACATTGTAACAAGGATTCCAAAAGACAGGTAAATTCACATCTGGGGTAGTTCATAGGAGCTTGGTCAATTCTCATTAAGGAACAGATGTTGAAGTTGTCCTATAGAAGTCAGATGAAGGAATTCAGTAACTAATGAAAGTGGACATGTGGGATGGATTTATAAGACCAGAAGACCCATCAAGATCATGTTCCACAGAAGGTCCCAGAGATAACACTATTCACCAAATGTACCAGGAATGCACTGGTGAAAGTGTACCAATGCCACTAAGAAAGTCTGTGATGGTTCTCCTCTAACAGTCAGAGATGTTGTTTCTAGAAGTAATCACATAGCTGGGCTACTTGGCATCCACAGAGATGATGGGGCCTTAAAGTCATAGAGACCAGATGGCAGTACTAATCTCTCAGGAGCCGGGAGGTTGTAATTACCATCATGATTGGCAAGGCCAGAGGGCAGCCAAGGCTGCTTGACCCACAGGGAGTTGGAGAGATGGTTAACAGAGCATGGTGTCTCCAGGGGCAAAACAGATGGGCAGCTAACAAGAGTGATGCCTCATATCACAACCAAGTAAAGACAAGAATGGAGAAGCAGGATGCTCAAAATGGTTGCCCAACAATGTGACAATCATTTGCTCAGGTCCCAGACCAGGACAAATTTTCACATCTGTAGCCCAGTGACTAAAGAAGGGGATCAAGCTCTAGAAGATAGAACTTTGCCACACCCAGGCAAGGAAATACCACGACAATACCATGCTTATATGCATGATTTAAACTGATGCACTAGGCGATTAGAGTATTTTAACGTCATTTCCTTGTGCTGTGAAGTAAAAGCTATCCTAGTGGGTTCATTCAAAGAGGAACCTCTAAAACTGCCCACCCCCTCAAATGCTAAATCAAAGACAATATCATAGTTCATAGATACAAGTGCCAGCATTAAATACCTGACGGATGCAGGAATGGTGGTTCCTAACATATCTCCATCTAATTCGATACTTTGTCCCCTTCAGAAAAAGACAGATCCTGGAAAATGACTGTAGAATATCACAAAATTTACCAAGACATATCTTAGATTATAGTTACTGTACCAGGCGTGATATAGTTGATAGAGAAAAGTAATATAGTCTCAGCTATACAAAATGTGGTGATTAATCTAGTAAATTCTATTCCATCCCAATCAGGAAAGAAAATTAGAAACAGTTTTCATTCTCATGAATAGACAATGACATTCATTTAAAGTTTTTCCTCCCGGATATGTTAAGTCTCTGACCTAACAACATCCAAAGAGATGGAGACCTTCAGACATCCCACAGAACATCACACAGATCCATTATACCCATGACATAATGCTGATCGAATGAGAACAGGAGGTGCTTAGCATGCTGGAAGCCTCGGTAAGATGCTTGCAAGCTACAGAGTCAGATGCCAAACAGTCAGGCACCAGTCCCTGCTGCAGTTTTGGGAAGCTAAGGGATCAAGATCATGCTGAGACATGCTCCAAAGTAAAAGACAAAGTATTGAATCTCACATCCCTTAAACAAAGAAGAAAGCAAGCATCCGGAAGGCCTTTTTAGCTTCTGGATGAAACATATTTTGAAGCTGGGTTATTAACCCCATTATATACATGATGAAACAGAAACCTGTGAGCTTTGAATGGCGCTCTTAGACTGTGTGGAGATGTAGAGGACTGCTTCCATCCAACCTTCCCTCCCTTTATTCTTCATTCTCTTCCTTTTGTCTTCCACCAAGATCTGAAGACCGTCTTAGTCTTTGGTAAATCCTTTCCCATTTCCTCTCAGGCATATGCCTAGTAAAATCCTTGCATGTCTAATTCCATTGTGGCTTCTGTTCCTGGAAGAATCAGATCAACACAAGTACTTTAACACAAGTCAATTAAGCAATGAGGAATAAGTGCCATTTTGAAAAAGAGGCTACAGAAGAAACAAAAGGGAAAACAGACATGGATAGCGTGAGGACAGGAGCTTACATAGGGTGATAAAAACTCCTGAGGGAATATGTGCAGCAGTTCTTATCGTTCCACTCTCTCTAGTCTCAACTGTGGAGAAACCAGAACCATTGTTTTCCTTTCCTCATTGGTGTAAGGAAGAATTAATCATAGGCATCATTAGCATGACTTGAGTGGTATTAATTCAAGACCAGATAGAGATACAAGAGGTACTGAATCCAATTAATCATTACTAAAATATTGTTAAGAATTGTAACTCAGCCAGTCAGAAGGCTACTAAATAAGTATTTCAATCTGTAGTAAAGAATCAGTAAAGAAGTTAGTTACTACCACGTAGAGAGTTACAATCTCTAATCATAGGGAAGTAATTTAGCTAACTTTATTTAAGTAATATAAGGCTCAAATTTGAACCAATTTGAAGCAAACCTGATCTGAACACTATGGGATTAATAGTCTCCTTATAGTGGTAACTATGTGAGGGAAAACCCTACTAACCACACATAGTCACCTACCTGGTCTTGAGTTTTAGTCTGAGATCTCTAGGCATCAGGGGATGAGAATATGCCACACTAAACACATTAAGATATACCACTGTGTCAAAAGGATTATTTTGAGCTGAAGACAATTTAGAAAACATGTCAAAAAAAGCTCTCCATCTCCCCGCACATTTGTCTATAATGTCTATAATCAAAGTTAGACTCTTAGACACCAGACACTCTTTTCACCAGTCCAAGACAGCACTGAGAGGAATGTACATAGCATATCTTAAGAAAACAACTTCTATCTTCCATTAATTTCATACATATATTTACCCTAGCAGCCTAAAAGCCTTTCCCTATGTTTTGTTACTTCTAAACCAATGTATTGTACTTGGTTAAAATGCTATATAAGCCCAAATTCTGAATACCCCTTTGAGTTACTCATCACTAATTTTTTTCTACATGTAAGTTCACTGCACATGTTATTAACTCTGTTTTTCTCTTCTTAATCTGTCTTTTGTCAGACTAACTTATAAGGCCCCAGCCAGAGAGTGTAGAATGGTAGAGGAAAAAAGCTCCCCTTCCTCTCCTCTACATGAATATAAACAACTTAAGCTTGTTGGATATTTGGGCATTATTTATTATTTATTTACTATTTATTACTGGGTACAGTTACCTCAAATTGATTTGCGATAAAACATTTCTTAATAAAGGCAGATATACCAGGAAATTAGTGTAATTTATGCTCCAGGGAATTTTTCTTGCACAGCCATTTCTAAGACCCTGAAATAACTCTGAATTCAAAATTTTGTATCCCTTTTTTTATTAAAAAGGATACCTCCCTCCCCAGTTGCATAAGCCTCAGGCCCTACAATCCTAGACCAGTCTCTGGAGGCTTGTATAGCAAGCTAAGAAATTTGGATGTTCCAAATGGTCAGGAAGGAGAGTGATCTGTCCATATTCACATTTTAGAAAGATTACTCTGTGAACAATGTAGACAAAAGTATAAAAGCAGACCAGATCTGCAGGGAAAAGTATAAGGAAACTGTCATTGTATTCCAAGCAAGAATAAAGACCTTTTTCTTTTTATTTTATAAAAGGACTTGGTGTTTCCTTTGAAAGAGCAAGATCCTCTGGGGCATTTCTAATTTTACTTATAAAAGCTCCAGCCTCCCATTTTTTAGAAGTATTATTCTTCCTCTAAGAAGCTGAGAAGATTCAATTTTTTGCAGTGTAACAGCGTGTCCCTGCCTTCAGAAAATAAAGCATGGCGTTTTCATAACAACAGTGCTAACTTACTAGTTTAAGGAAAGTAGCAAGAATTTGTTTTAAAATTCACTGTCAGCTTAAAAATAGAAAATAGAGCAGTTCTTCAGTGACCCCCTTTTTTTTTTTTACACAATAATAGTCTAGGCTATCTCCTTGAATGTGAATGGTACACTCAACATAATAAAAAATATTCTAAGAGTATCTATTTTAATATTAATTAAATTTAGAGTTCATCTGGAAGAATCAACATATGATAATCAAAGAGACTGAGAGAACTGGTGAAGTGGGTTATTTTACCAGGAAATAAACATTCTTTTAAAGTCATGAAAACAAATACCATTTTACAGGCATGAGAATAAGAAAAGAGAAATCTATTCAAAGTTGGAAGCCTGGAAATGGACCAAGTAAGAATAAACATTTACATTCATAGGGATAGAATGGCTGTCTGATAGGAAGTCATTTTGTTCACAGCACTATGGGCTGAAGGGGAAACTATCAATTCCTACTTCGTAAAGAAACTGTAGAGAAGGCTCTCTGTCCCTCCTTGGGACTTAAACAATCACACTTCTATATATAATCAATTGTTTATTTTTCCTCTTAAAGTTGCTATGACAAATCCTTGGGGTACTAGGGAGAAGGAAGAAATGTTTACACAGTTGAGCATTCCTATGAACTCTGAAATTACAATACTATAAATGGGGCATATAAATAGAATAAAAGACTGAAATTATAAAGTTTTAGAAAGTCATAAAAAGTTTTTAGTCTATGCTCTTGGTTTAGGGCTACCCAGGGTTAAGTTCTTTGGATATACTTAAACACATTCCAATTTGAACTCATGTAGCAGATGGGTCACAGGTATATGCTCTTCTCCATACTCTGGAGATACATGACTATATATGGCAGACACCTTGCCAACACTCCCAGGCAGAAAGTGAACTCATGTCTCTGCACTTAAACAAAAGACTAAAAGGGAATCAGCTCCCACATCACATGCAAAGGAGAGCAGCCATCACCTGTACTCTGAAGTTTGACTCTCCAGGTAAGAGATCTATCTCAAACATGTAGGTTCTCCTGTTAATTTCCCCCAATTCTTCCTGCCCTTTAGAGACTAGAAGAAAAATAGGACTTCAGAGAGAAAGTATCATAGGCTATGATACCAAAAGGGGCACGATTGTTTTGTGGAAAAATAGGATAAAATGAAAGCTGGAGAATATTCTAAAATATACTCTAGAGTTCACTCTTAAGCAACTAGGGGCAAGTGTTAAGTGTCACAACTAGTGACAACAACTAGTAAACAACTGGTGTTAAGTGTCAACACTCCCTACCCACAAAGCCTTCAGTCAAAAATCTGAGGCTAACTTTTGACTCCCCAAAAACTTAACTATTAATGGTGTGATGTTGAGCAAAGCCTTGCTTGATAACATAGTCAATTAACACATATTTGTATATTATCTATATTATATATGGTATTCATTAAAAAAAAGTAAGGTAAAGGAAATGTTATTAGGAAAATCATAGCGAATCTGATGGAAGCTTAGAGTAGAAAATTTAGTATGGAAGCTTCACAAGGACAGAAACCAGAGGTGGGGACAGAAATGATTAATGATTGGTTAAGCTCGCTATGAAATATCTGCAAGGATGAAAACCAGAGGTGGGATGAGAATTGCTGGTCATTACAAAGAAAATCTCCAGTACTTACTGTAGAGTCCACAAAAAAATGAAACCCCCCAAAGAACACCTTACAAAGATACCTCTTGTTCTGGCAAAACACAGCTTCTTGTCCTTTAAGAACTGCCTGTCTTCTTTGCACATGTCTCCCCTTTTTTCCACTCACTTTTTCTTAATAAATTTGCCCTGTGCTGCTGAATGAGGGACTCCTTTAAAGTAATTTATCAGAGGGATCCAGGAATCCTACTCACCGAACTCCAGATCATCATGAAGGCCTTCATCCTCATTGTTTTCACAGTGACAGCCTGAAAAGGAAAACTGAGAGGTTAAAAAAAATCTGAATGTAAGTGATCAAACCCATGTTGTTCAAGAGTCAATTGTATTCCTCTAACACACTTTGTTAATTACCAATTTATGCATCTCCCACATTAGAAAATGGTATCTGAGCACAGAGACCAGGCTCATAAAGTCTTTGTATCACCATGCCCAAGACAGTGCTTAATACATTATATGTTCTCAAATGTTTGTTGTGAAAAAAAAAAAATGTTAGAAACTACTCTCTGTGCCTGTCAAAAGCAAAACACTGATCCCTGGATCTATTAGCTTGTGCTTTCATATTCACAGCTTCAAAAGGAAAGAAAAATATGCTCTCATTGTCAAAATCTTACTAGATGCAAAGATAGAATGGATTACTTTTTCTATTCATGCAGCAAAATGTGTAGGCATAGAGTAGGAATTTATCTCTACCAAATAGCTAGGAATAAAATAAGGCATTTGGATTTAATGTTTTATTACCATGTAATCGTTTGAGCAACAGGTTCCAAAAGCTCAAGATAACGTGCCAAAAACCATTTGTGAAATAGGCTTTCAGAAAGTCAGTGCAGTGTGTACTGTGCATTGAGAGGCAGAGTCGTAGCATGAAGGTGTGATAATTCCACCAGGAGGTGGCATCTAACAGATTTTGCTTTTATTAGACTCTAGGGAACCCCATTAAGAAAGCCTTTTCTTATGACATTTATTGTTTAACCTTAGTCTTGAATTTAATTTTTCCTTAGGGGAAAAATTTTTCAGTCTGTCCCAGACTGAAAAATAAATTGAATCTTCTTAGTCTAGCTCTTGAATAAGCCGATTTCTACTTAACTTTCAAAGCTCTGACAAATCAGATCAATCCTTCTTATTAGTATGCAATATATACCAAATCAAAGCATTCCTAACATATATGATGGAATAAAACTCTCATCAAAAAACTAGACAGAATGTGTCAATATTTGGGGAGTTATTTAGATGCTATTTTCCTACTTGACAGTTTATATAGCTGATCAATAGTTTATATCTTTAGCAGCCTTATTTATTTTTTAATCTTAGCTTAAGATTACCTTCTTTACTTCATTTTACATTCCCACACAAAGACATTCAGAAATTTTGGATTTCAATGTCAACTACTGTAGTAATTTTTCTGGTATCTGCCCAGATCTCTTTTCTCCAGAATGATATACCCATTCTCCACTCACCGAAGTGTTCACAGCTGCCTTGTTCTTCAGAAAATCGCCCGTGTCTGATAGAAGCAACCTTACCCATAAAGATCTGGGACAGTCCATAGCCAGTGAACCAGAGAGACAGGGGTATAAAGGTTAGGTCTCTTGCCCCAAAGTGGGGGCAAATTTGTGGTGCCATTCATGCCCCAGAAAATATTTCATGGTGTCTGTACTAAGTACTATTGTATCTACTTCCTCCATCATTTCAGTTTAGGACCATAAGTAACCTGATAATTCAAATTGCATTTTGAATCAATTTCTTTCTTCCAACAGTCCTTTACAATATCACCAGAATGCACTAAGATGCAAATTTTATCATAGTCTGCTCTTCCCCACTTCTCAAATACATACATCCATACTTGAAAATCTTCAATAACAAGTTTTATTAGTAAACTAAAGTTAGCTCTCACGTGCAATTTTTTCCTCCCCAATCCCCAAAAATTAGATCATGGAGCAAAGCAGAACATTGAAATATGTACAATATAATTAGTAAGCATTTATGTATCTTGAGAGTCAAGGCTAGCTGAAGCAGTTAACTATTTTCTTAGTGGGGTTAGAAGACTTCCATTAGTACAGAAGAAGCAGAAAACTAGGTAAACCTAGGGGAACGGGTTACAAAACAACTTCCCTTTCTAAGTGAGGGAGTTTGTTACTGTAAGTTAGAAATTAATGTGTTTGGGCCTCCCTGGTGGCGCAAGGGGTTAAGATGCAACTTATGAAGCAGTCCACAGCATGAGTTCGATCCCCAGCCAGCCAGGAAGCAACACACATGGCGCAGCAGACCTCTCTTGGCTTGCCTGCTGCTCCCCTCAGCAGTGTATTTCAGTCAGTCTGCCTGTTCTGTTCCCCACTTTGTCTCTGGTAAATCCTCTCACACCCCACACCCCTGGCCTGTACCCAAGATCTTGTATGCATAAATAAACAAATCTTTAAAAAATTTAAAAAACAAATTAATGTGTTTGAGGCAAGAATCTCTTCTACCTCTGGCCCAGAAATCTCTTGGTATATAGGATGGGGTACTTCACAGGCTCAGTTGGGGTGCTTATCAGTTGCTAGGTGGGTTAGTTTATTTTAATCCTGGAAAGCTGCAACACTGTGTGCAATGATGGAAGTCAAACCATGGTGGTAATAATTATATTAAAGAATAATTTTGTTCATATTTGATATTTAACTATCTGTTTCCAAATTCATTCTATTAGAGAAACAGTTTGACTGTGATTCCAATTTACAATGTGTAATTGAGTAACTGAGTTAGGCTTTCGGTTTTACTTTGAAATCTTTTTTTTTTTTTTTTCATTAATGCTGCTGGAATACTTAATAGGAGTTATTTCTCTTCCTTTTTTTTTTTCATTTTTAGATTCATGAGATGTACCAGTATCTGGAATGATTTGTAAAACAAATACAATAAGTTTATGAAGAGTTTAAAACCCCTACAGGAATTTAAGTTGTAAATCCCTCCCTACTTAAACTTGACTAATAAATTTGTTACATTTACAAATTGAATAAAATTTGAATATCAAAAATTAAGAACAAGGTTTCTCAATTTTGAACTTCAACACATTAATAAGTCAGTATCTTTAACAACTAAAGTAGACCTTTAAATAATATTTCCTTTGTAGAAAGTTCACCTGAGAGCATTAGGATCTCACACTGACACATAAATCCAGGTTCAGATCCTATAAATTCATAATACATGGCAATATTGGGTCAGATTATGAAAGACAAAAGTGTTCTTCAGATGTGCATGAGTTTTCTAGTTCACCATCTTTTTCCCATATGCTCCCAGCCCAGCACACACACTTTAACATCCTACAGTGCACAGAACAGGTCTCAACAACAAACAATGATTCACTCCAAAATACCAACAGTGCTAAGACTGAGAAATCCTGACCCAGAGGGGGACCTCCCTTCTGGCCTAGGGGTGAAAGTCTCAGCACTGTTAAGCTATCACCAGGCACTGCAGTATGAGTTTGATGCCGGCCACGGAGCCACATGGCACAACAGACCTCTCTTGTCTGCCCTGCTATTCCCCTTAGCATTGTATCTCAATAGATCCATCTGTTCTGCTCCCGCTCTGTTTCTGGTATATCATTTTACCCCACACACACACCTCTGGCCTACACCCCCAGGTTTTTTTTAAAGATTTATTTATTTATGCATACAAGAGTTGGGGTACAGGCCAGAGATGCGGGGGGTGAGAGGATTCACCAGAGACAGTGGGGAACAGAACGGGTGGATTGACTGAAGTACACTGCTAAGGAGCGCAGCAGAGGGTGAGACAGGAGAGGTCTGCTGCACCATGTGCGTTGCTCCCTGGCCAGCCGGGGATCGAACTCGTGCTGCAGAGACTGTGGCTTGCTTCATAGTGCGGTGCTTAACCCCCTGAGGCACCAGGGAGGCCCAACACCCCAGTTCTTGAATGCATAAATAAACAAAATAAATCTTTAAAAAACTAAAAAAAGATAGAAAAGAAATATTGACCCAGAGGAACACAACTAAAATCCTCCAACACGGCACAGACACCTTGTAATGATGTAGTATGTCATGTTTCTTGCAGGCTAATCCATGGACATTACATGGGTCACAGATACCTTCTTTCTCCATTGTTTATTGAGTTCTCTTTTGCATCAAAATTCTTAAATTCTGGTGTTTCTCTTTTCCTTACCATCTGTTCTTTATTTCCTTCAAGAAATCTTTCCCTACATCAAGGTTAAAGATACTCCACTTTCTTCTAAATATTTCTTCTAAACATTTCTTCTAAATATCCTACACGTGTTTCATATTCTTTTTTTTTAAGATTGATTTATTTATTTATGCATAGAACTGGGGTGTAGGCCAGAGGTGTGGGGGATGAGAGGGTTCAGCAGAGAAAGAGTGGGGAGCAGAACAGGCAGACTGAGATTCACTGCAAAGGGGAGCAATGTACAAGACAGGAGAGGTCTGCTGTGCCACATGTGGGTGAGCTCCCTGGCTAGGGATAGAACTCCAGTTTAATAATTTCTCTATAATTAATATGACAGAGCAATTCCTGAAAACTATACATGATTTCTTTTTTTTTTTTTTTTTTTTTTTTCATGACCAAGTGGAATTTATTACAGGAATGCAGGAATGTTTTGACATACACAAATTCATGAATGCAATCACCATATTAACAAAATGAAACACAAAAATCATGTCATATCAATAGATGTGTAGAAGGCATTTGACATGATCCAACTTCCACTTATGATTTTAAAAATCCTAGTAAAATGGAAATACAAGGGGAAAAAAAGGCCACAATTAACCAACACACAGCTATGCATCATGCTATACTCAATGGTGAGGAACAAAGTATTTCTCTAAGATCAAGTACATGACAAGGACGTATTTTGTTACCAGTTCTTTCATAGTATTGGCAGTTCAAGCTAGATTAATTGGGCAAGAGACAGATATAATCTGAAACCAAATTGGAAAAGAAGTTAAAACTGCCACAATGTGTGGATGCCATGATAATATACATAGAACACCCTAAAGACTATTTTTTTTTTCTTTTTTTTTTTTTTTTAAATAATAAATTTTATTTTTATATTCCACATACAATTGCAGCCCCCCCATTCTGACCCCAATCCCTACCCTCCCGCCCCTCACCCCCAAAAAGTGTCTCTGGTTCATAGTTTTTTGTTGATTTTGATTTTCACTTTCTTATAGTTATTCATTCTCCTGGTCCCTTATTTAAGTTTTCTAGATTCCTGCTATGAGTGAGACGATCCGGTATTTTTCTTTTTCTTTTT